CAGACTGGAGGGCAGTGGCCGCTCCCGGCCCCCGCAGCCTCAGCCGGCTGGACTCAGGCAATCCTTCCGCCTCAGCCTTCCAAGCAGACGGAACTACAGGTACACGCTATTGTGCCTGGCTAAGTTTTAAAAACTTTATTGTAGAGATGAGGTCTCGCCATGTTGCCCAAGACTGGTCTTGAACCCACGGACTCAGGCAGTCCTCTCACCTTGGCCTCCCAAAGTGCTGGGATTATAGACTTGAGCCACTGCACCTGGTCCGCATCCTATTTCAAGGTTAATCCACATTGCAGACGTGTGTTTCGTTTCTTTCTCTCGCTGTGTGGATAGACCACGATGTATTTGTCCATTCACCAGCTGATGGACATTTGGGCTGCTTTCAGTTTTCGACTGACTTGAGTAATGCTATGTGTACATTTGTGTACAAGGTCTTGTGTGGACATACGTTTCACGTCTCTTGGGTGTGCACAATAGTGGAATTGCTGGGTCACATCATCACTCTTCTGAGGAATTGCCAGACTGTTTTCCAAAGTGACTGCACCATTTTACATTCCTACCGGCAGTGTATGAGGGTTCCAGTTTCTCCACATCCTCACCTTTGATCCTAGCCATCCTAGTGGGTGTGAAGTGCTATCTCATTTTAGTTTTAATTTGCACTTCCCTGATAAATAATGATGTTGGACATCATCTTGTGTGATTATTAACCATTTTTTAAAAATAGAGACAAGCTGAGCACAGTGGCTCACACCTATCATCCCAACATTTGGGAGGCGGAGGCAAGAGGATTGCCTGAGCCCAGGAGTTCTCGACCATCCCGGGCAACTTGGTGAGACCTCATCTCTACAATAAAATAAAAAAATTAGCTAGGCATGGTGGTGGGAAGACTGAGGAGAAAGGTTATACCTGAGCCCAGCAGGTTGAGGCTGCGGTGGAATGTGCCACTGCACTCCAGCTTGGGTGACAGAGTGAGACTCCGACTCAAAAAGAAATAGAGATAAGGTCTCATGACCCTGCGCAGGCTGGCCTTAAAGTCCTGCCTTGGCCTCCTAAGTGCAGGGATTACAGGTGTGAGCCACTCCACCCAACCTTATTAGCCGTTTGTGTGTCTTCTTTGGAGAAATGTCTGTTTGGATCCTTTGCCCATCTTTTTATTGGGTTATTTCTCTTTTTATTATTGAGTGTGAGTGCTCTTTATATATTCTAAGATACAAGTGCCTTATCATATATGTGATTTGCAAATGTTTTTCTTCATTCTGTGGATTGTCCTTCCACTTTCTTGATGGCATCCTTTGGAGCACAAAGGCTTTAAGTTTTGGTGACATTCGGTATGTCTGTATTTTTCTTTTGCCACTTACACTTTTGGTGTCATAGCTCGGTAACTGTTGCCTAATCCAAGATCCCAAAGATATAGCCCTGTGCTTTTTTTAAGTCCTTTATAGTTTAGCTCTTACACTTAGGTCTCTGATCCATTTTGAGTTAATTTTTGTGTGTGGTGTGAGATAGGGACTTTCACTTCATTCTTTTGCATGTGGATATCTAGTTGTCCCAGCAACATTTGTTGGAAAGACTCTTTTTTTCTCTCACTGAATTATTTTGGCACCCTTGTCAAAAATCAATGGACTATTTATTACATGTGAAGGTTTATCTCTGGGCTCTCAATTATATTATTTCATTTGCATCTGTTCTTATGCCAGGACCACCTTTTCTTGATTATTATAACTTTGTAGAAGTTTTGAAATCAAGATATGTGAATCATTTAATTATGTTCTGCTTTTTCAAGGTTATGTTGACTATTCTGGTCCCTTAAATTTCTATGTAAAGTTTGGGGTCAAGTTGTCAAATTTCTGCAAAAGGGGGAGCTTGAGCTTTTGATAGGGGTTGTGATGAATTTTTAGAATCATTTGGGAGTATTATCATTGTAGCAACATTAATCAATGTTCCATAAATGGATGTTCCAACATTCATGGATGTTCCAATCCATGAACATGGGATATCTTTCCATTTATTTAGATCTGTAGTTTCTTTCAGCAATGTTTTTGGTTTTCCAGAATATGTATTTTATACTTCTTTTGTTAAATTTATTCCTGTAGAATAAAATTTATTCTTTTTCTCTTTGATGCTATTGTACATGGAATTGTTTTCTTTATTTCATTGTGGATGTTCACTGGTTTATAGGAAAAAAGTGACTTTTGTTTGTTTTCTCTGTATTTTACAACCTTGCTGAACTTATGTGTTATTAGTTCAGGTAGTTTTTTAGTGGATTCCTTAGGATTTTCTTTTTTTTTTTCCTTTTTTTTGTTGGAGTCTCACTCCATCACCCAGGCTGGAGTGCAATGGCACGCTCATGGCCACCCCAGCGTCGACCTGCTGGGCTCAGGCAATCCTTCCACTTCAACCTTCCAAGTAGCTGGAACTATAGGCATGTGCTACCTTGCCCAGCTAATTTTTTGATTTATTGTAGAGAGGAGGTCCCGCCAAGTTGCCCAGGCTGTTCTTGAACCCCTGGGCTCAGGCAGTCCACTCACCTCAGCTTCCCAAAGTGCTGGGATTACAGGCTTGAGCCACCGTGCTCAGCCAGGATTTTCTACATGTAAGATTAACTCATTTGCCAATAGTTTTAACTCTTCCTTCCCGTGGTCATGTATTTTTCTTGTTTGCTCGGTACTTTTCTTTCTCCTCCCACCAGAATGTAAGTAAGCTGGTCATTGCTGTGGTCCCAGTGCCTAGAACAGGGCCTGGTACGCTCCGGTGCTCAACTGTTCGAATAAGTGGAGCCGGCATAACCGGGCTCAGGTGATGCCCCAGCCCAGGGCCACCATTCCTTGGGCACCTGCTTCCAGGGGTTTGGTGCTCTCCCTCTTCTTTGTCTCCAGCCCTGACCTGTTTCACTTGTCCTCTGTCTTGGCTGAGGAGAGTTGCTGGAGCTCACCCTCTAATGAGAGTGGCACATTCTAGTGACTAGGGTCCCTGATCCCCAGTGTCATCACCAGGTGAGACACATCTCACAGGGCCCTCAACAGGCCAGGTGCTTTGCAGTTCTCAACTCGCTGGGTGCTTCCAGGTACCCATGAGGGAGGGGTGGGATGCCCATTTTACCGACAGGGCTGTGGCCCAGGTCTACCTGGCCCAAGCCCTGCTGCCCCTCATCTCAGGCTTGGCAGGGTCCTGGGGTAAGCGTTGGCCACATCCTCAAAAGCTCTTGGAGCCAGGAGGAGGTTGCCTGGAGGAGGTTCATCATAGAGGGCGAGACTCGGGGCTTTCGTTGACCAAGGGCATGGATCCCTTCCTGCTCGTGCTGTGCCCTCCCTAGAGTGTCTCCCTGGCCTGACCGCTCCCTGCTCATTCCTCAGTAGCGCCTGAACTTGAATGTCGCCTCCCTGCCTCACCCCTTTTCCCCTCCTGGTGACTGAGTCAGCACTGGTGAGCAGTCTGCTGCAGCAGCTCCCTTCCGCGGACCTTCTTGGCACTCAGCCCTGGGCAGGGCCGTGGGTGCATCTTAGGGCGCGCTGACCCCACAGCCTACAGGTTCTGCCCGCCAGCCTTTCCCAGGCTCTGAGGTCCATGAGCCGATGGATGGCTGAGAGCCCGGACTGTACGGTCGATGGTCTTGGGTTCAGCTCCTGTTTTGCTGACCACTGGGATGTGAGCATGGGTGGGGGTGCCCTCAGCTGAAGGGATGGCACAAAGCCCACCTCACCAGCTGCCATGGGTGGCAGACACGTTGAGGCTCAGAAGATGCTTGGCTGTGGCCATCTCCGCCTCCAGACCCCAGCGCGGCAGTTGTCTCACGCCCCTGAGACACTCAGGGTGTTAGGGCTCCTTCCTAGCTGTCTACTTGGATGTCCCTGTTGTGGGGATGAGCTGGAGATCACATCTCTCGTCCTACCCTCTCCCTTCTGGGCCTCCCCTCCCAAGCACTGCTTCTGCCCAGTGGGCCGTGGGGACGGGGAATGGCTGTGGGGATGCCAGGTTTGTCTCTGCCACTTGCCGCCACCACCCCGGATCCTGCTGAGACCCCACAGCAGCTGGGAGAGGCCTGGATGAGCCTCGCCGACTGGCTCCCACTGACTCCAGGCCAGAGCACCTTTCCATTAAAGGGATGCTGGCATTTTCAGGGTGGCCAGGCTCCCAGGCCCAGGAGGAACTTGGGGGCTGGAAGACCAGGTCTGGTGAGTGTTGTTGAAGCCAAGGCCCTGAGTTGGTGTCTCCACACCTGGACCCCCGCTGCTTGGGTGAACCTCTGTCATGCTCTTGCTGGTGGTGGGCCTCGGGTGAGAGTTTTGGCCCCAGAGCTGCCGCTTTGTTTGGGGGGGGCAAGTGGGACTGATGACAGGAGCTGTCCCAGACACAGCCAGGTGTGATCACCTGTTTCGGGTACTCGGAGCAGGCTGCAGGGCCTACTGGCTTTTGGGAAGTTCTCTGAACAGTGCCCGGCACGGGAAACGCTTTATAGGTGATAGCCATAGTTGTTGTTGTCCTCGCCGTTAGTGGTGAAGAGGGGGCTGTCGGGTCAGAAAGCACTGGGCCTAGGGACCAGCTCGCTGTTTACTGGCTGGGAGATAGGGGGCAGTTTGCCCAGCCTCGGTCTCCTCATCTGTGAAGTGGGATGAGAGTGGTCGAGTCCAGGAAGGCTGTTGTGAGCTCATATGAGGTGGTCAGTGGAACCTGGCTTTGGGGAGGTGACCTCAGTGGCAGAAGAGGCCCAGAGTCTCAGAGCAAGGTGGAGTGGCAGCACTGGGAACAGGGCAGTAAGCTCCCCAGAGAGGGCACAGCTGCCCCAGCCTGACCTCTCCCTGCCTTGCCTTTCATTTTTTATTATTTCTTCTTGTTTTTACCACAGTTAAACAAGGACATTTTTGTTGTGAAAATGCAGTTGCTTTCCAATACCCTCCCTCCCCTTCACTCCCACTGGGCAGAGTTCTTGCCCCACCCTGGACACCACATGGCATTCCCCTGTGCTGCCCTGCTAGCTTGTGCTCACCTGTCCCCTCTGGTCACAGGGAGGAGGTGCAGGAGAACTGTGTGCGGTGGCGGAAGAGGTTCACCTTCGTGTGTAAGATGAGTGCCAACCCCACCACGGGCCTGCTGGATCCCTGCGTCTTCCGCGTGTCCGTGCGCAAGGTGAGGCCGGGCCGGGGGCCGTGGGCGGGTGTGGGCTGCTGGTCTGGTGGCTTGAGGCCCTTCCCCGGACCTGTCCCCTACGGGAACATGGCGGGAGTCACTCTGCCTCCTTTCTCGTCCTCCTCCCCTGAGATTCGGGTGCATCTGGGGACACACGTGTGGGCCCTGGGATTCCTTGGTCACCCTGCTGCTTCTGTCTCCCTCCCTGGCAGGAGCTGAAAGGCGGAAAGGCTTATTCCAAGGTAAGAGGGGCTATGTGAAGGGGCAGTGGGATGGAATGGGTTGGCATGAGCCAAGCATGAGGGAAGCTTCTGGAAGGACTTCCAGCCCCCATCTGCCCCAGACAGGAGAGACACTTAAGGCTTCCATGAGCTGTATTATTTTGGGGAAAAAACCTGTTTGTTTTTTATTCAGTTGAAGTCTCCTTCTGTCATGCAGACCAGAGTGCAATGGCACTGTCGTAGCGCACTGCAGCCTCAACTTCCTGGGCTCAAGCAATCCTCCCTCCTAAGCCTCCCAAGTAGCTGGGACTATAGACTCATGCTACCACTCCCAGCTAAATTTTTAAAATCTTTTTGTGGAAATGAAGTCTTGCTGTGATGCTCAATAAAGGCAATACCTTTATTGAGACTCTTTGCACTTCGTGTAACAGTAGCATTTGCTTGTGGCAGTGCAGACATTACAGAAGTTAATAGAGTAGAAGGGCCAGGTTCTACCCACCCCCAGCCTCCTCCTGCACCTGGTTAGGATCTGTCCGGCCCTTTTATGGAAAAATGAGTCATGAAATATATGCAAAGACCAGAGGATAACAACTGTATGCACATGGTTCAGAGGAATATCAAATGACAGCCTCTGTAATGTACTTTTGGGCATGTAAACTATGGTTTGTAAATATCAAGTACATGACTCATAGCTTGGTTTTTACTTACCCAGTATATCCTGAGCACCTTTTGGCGTTATCACAAATTTCGATGTGCTTTCTTTTCTTTTTTTTTTTTTTTAGTAGATGTCTAACTCTGTATCCCAGACCAGAGTGCAGGGGCATGATCATGGCTCACTGCAGCTGTGACTTTCTGGGCTCAGGTGACCCTTCCGTCTCAGCCTCCTGGGTAACTGGGACTACTGGCATGGGCTACCGTGCCCATCTCATTTATTAAAAAAAACACTTTTTTTTAGACAGGAGGTCTCGCTATGTTCCTCAGGCTGGTCTCAAACTCCTCTGGCCTCAACCTCCCAAAGTGTTGGGATTACAGACATGAGCCACCATGCCCAGCCTCCATGTGCTTTCTAATGACAGTGTGACTGGTGACGGTTGGTTCGGCGAGTCTCCACTGTTGGACATCTGTGTGGTTGCCGGGTTTTACCGCATCACAGGCAGCTCAGCCCTACATAGTAAAACCTTCCTACCCGGAAAAGAGAGAGAAGATGGCTCTGGCTTTGAATGAGCCTGCCCTGCCCTCAATCCCTCGTCTCTGTGGGAGATTCCAGGCCTCCCCTGCTCGTCCGGGAGGTGAGCCCAGTGGCAGGAGAGTGGGCTCCATCAGTCGGAGGGGAAATGCCTTTGCCTCGCCCCTCGCCCCGTGTGGAAGGCCTGAGGGAGGCGCGGCACAGGGTGCGGCCCTTCCCACGCCCTGGAGCGCAGGATCTCAGCCAGCCGGGCTGTGCCCTCTGCTCTGGCCCGGGGCGCTGGCATCCCTTTCCGGAAGCGGAAGGCAGAGCAGTCAAACCTGGGCTGTGGAGGGGACTGTCAAGAGGAAATCTCTCCTCCCATTGATTCCATGGGTGAGGACAGCTGCCCAACCGGGAAAGAAACTACCAGCAAAACAGGCTGGGTGTGGGTGTGGTGGCTCCTGCCTGTAATCCCAGCATTCTGGGAGGCCAAGGCAGGAGGAGGCCTTGGAGTTTGAGACTATTCTGGGCAACACAGTGAGACCTCATCTCCACAAAAAATTTAAAAAACTAACTGGACATGGTGGCTCACGCCTGTAGTCCCAGCTACTTGGGAGACTGAGGCAGAAGGATTGCCTGAGCCCAGGAGGTCAAGGCTGCAGTGAGCCCTGACTGTGCCACTGCACTCTTACCTGGATGACAAAGTGAGTTCCAACTCACAAAAAAGAAAGAAAGAAATAAAAAGAAATAGAAACTATCAGCAATCAGCCAGGAGCACCTTGTCTCCACTGACAACATTTGTTGGGCACCTGGCACTTGTTGATGCTGCCCGACCCCTTCCCTCCTGTCCTGAAGTCCAGAGAGGTGACAGGACATGGTCTATTTCAGGCCTCGTTTCCATCCAGTTGGCTTAGCTGTGTGGCCCTGGACAAGTCTCTTCCCCTCCCTGAGTAGTTTCCTCGTCTGTAAGATGGGGGTCGCTGCGGGTGAATGGTGGGGCTGGGGTCTGAACCCAGGTCCCTGGTTCTGAAATGTGTCCTCCTCAGACCGGCCACAGAGACTTGTCTGCAGCAGGCTCTTGATATACTTCCTGACTACTTGGGTTGTCCCCCAAGTCCCCAAGTCTGGCACTGCCTCGCCTCAGCCTCTGCTTCCCCTCAAGGCCTGGCAGACGTGGCTTCCCTCTTGGGGTTCTCCCGGCTCACGCCCTCTCCTCATACTCAGTCCCCCCTCCCGCCTGCCCCTCACCTAAGCAGCTCTGAGTCCTCAGGGGCCTTTCCCAGATCCTGGACTCTGCCCCCCAGGACTCCGGCCTCCACTGGGAGGACTTCCTGGGTTCCTGCATGCCCCGCCGTGTCCCTGTTCCTCTGGAGCCCCCTCCTGTGGGGGTGTCCCTCACCCTTCCAGCACCCAGTTCCCACAGGCATCCCTCCCCCACCGGCTCGCCTGGCAGCTCCCGACAGCACGGCCTTGTTTCCCGGTGAACAATGCATCTGTGTCGTGGACAACAATGTCCTTTCGTGTCAGGCGCGCTGGCCCCGGTACACCCTGGGATGTGGCACAAAGGATGCTTTGTGTAGCTCAGGGCTGAGCTCCTGGCCTTGCCTCGTCGGTGCTGCCGACCCGGGGCCTCTGTCCTTGGTCTGCTATGCAGAGTCAGTCGGGGCTGAGTGGTGAGCCCAGGAGCTTGGCCTGCGCGCCCCCCCCCACTTCTGCCAAGTGACCCTTCTGGCGTCTGCCAGCCAGAAGCCCACCCTCCCGGCAGCCTCCCACATGCCCCTCTTCCCTCCCAGCTGGGCTTCGCTGACTTGAACCTGGCTGAGTTTGCGGGTTCGGGCTCGACGGTGCGCTGCTGCCTGCTGGAAGGGTATGACACGAAGAACACCCGGCAGGACAACTCCATCCTCAAGGTACCAGGGCCTTGCTGCTCCTTCCGCCCCACTAAGGGGTGGGAACAAGCCTGGCCCCTCGTCAGCATCCCCAGAGGGTTGTTAAAAATACAGGTTCTCGGCTTGGTGTGGTGGCTCACGCCTGCAATCCCAGCACTTTGAGATGCCAAGTTGGGAGGATTGTTTGGGACCAACCTGGGCAACATAGCGAGCCCTTGTCTCTAAAAGTAAATAAGTGAATAAATGTAGGTCCTCACCTGGACAGGCAGTGAGAGCCGTTGGAAAGATGTGGCCCTGGGCTCAGAAAGGCACTGTCAGAGGCCTGGCTTAGCTCCTGGCCTCAGTTTCCCCGTCAGGGTCAGAGGTGGACCCTGACAGGTTGGCGAGCACTTCTGTGAGATCAGCAGCATGCAGCGTGTGTGCCATCTCTTACCACGTCATCCTTCACAGCCTCCGTGGGGCATGGCATCTGTGACTGGTCCCAGCTTTGCATGGGTGGGGGCAGAGGCCTGGAAGTTAAATCCTTTGCCTGGGATCCAACAGAGCTGGTGCTTGACCACTGGCTGTTTGGCCTCCTGGCCAGCTCCTAACCATGCCCCCACATGACACAAGGCAGCCCAGTTCCCCGTGTCATTTCCGTTAGCAGCATAGAGGCTGCTGAGAGCCGGGGGCCAGGCCTGCCCTGGCTGGCCACGTGCAGGTTTCCAGTGACCAGAGCAGCCCTACCCCTAGGCAGCTGCGTCTGTGGGAACAGATGTCTGGGTGTCTGCCACCAGCACACCTCTTCCTCTGTTTCTGCACCCTTCCCTCGACAGAAAACAGGCTGGTCCTAGCACCGCCTCTGCACGCTGACCCAGCAAGAGCGTGTTGTGTCTCGAGTAGCTGGGCTGGAGGTGGCTTGCAGGGGCTTGGGGCCTCTTAGATCCTTTGCAGAGGGAGCCTGCGGCTCCAGAACTGGTTCAGGCCTGTTGTGGAGCCTAGGCCTCTCTGCCTCCCTGCAGTGGCCCAGGCATCCTCAGTCAGGCCAGATCCAGGGCCCTAGGGACAGGTGGCTGTGAGTTCAAGGCCAGCTGCCCCACATCCATCTGCAGGGTCTTGGGAGTGGCTTCCCTCTCTGAGTCTTGGCTTCCTCACCTATAGCCTAGGGCCATCACCTGCTTTGTAGGCTGCTGCCACAGTCAAGGGAGACACAAAACACCTCCACTCGATGATGGTGGCCCCAGGATCTGAGCACCTCTTTGCTGCCCTGTCACTCTCTTCTTGTTGCTCCACCTGAGCCCAGAATTTAGGACCCAAATCTTGCCATGTTAGGCCATTGCCAAAATGTTTGTCTGGACAGATGTTCACTTTCTAGTGTCTGCACGTCTCACTGGCCCCTGCCCACCGTGATGGATGCTAGGCACCTCCCACTACATCGGGCCGTGAGCGCTCCTGCCTGTCATGTCAAGCTCTTTGCTGCTCACACCAGTGTGGAAGGCTAGTGGGCAGTCCACCCTGGAGAAGCTCACCTGCACTCTGCCCCTCTGCCAGCACCCAATGAGTACCAGCCTCACCTCGCCTCACCCTCCCAGTGCCCACCAGACAGGCCTCACTTTCTCCATGCTCCATACCAGGAAACTGGGACTCATTGAGGTTAGGGGTCTTTGCCAGAGTCCCCGGCCTAGAGGGCACAAAGACAGGATTGGAGTCCGAGCCTTTTTGAGACCAGAGCCGGAGGCTGCTGGAGGCTGCACACCTGGGCGGTTGTGAGTGACTCAGACGAGGCTGATTTCTCCCTCCCCCTAGGTCACCATTGGCATGTTCCTGCTCTCTGGAGACCCCTGTTTCAAGACGTGAGTGCTGGCACTGGCCAGGCGGCAAGTGGGGTGGGAGCTCGGACCTGGGCGGGGGTTGGAAGGCAGGGTTTCTTGGGCTCTCTGTTCCCACCTGTGCTGAGGTGGCGCCCCCTAATCATGCCCGCCTGTCTTCCCAAGGCCGCCGTCCACTGCTAAGTCCATCTCCATCCCAGGACAGGACTCCTCCCTGCAGCTGACGTGTAAGGGTGGCGGGACCAGCAGCGGGGGTGGCAGCGGCAGCAATTCCCTGACTGGGTCCCGGCCGCCCAAGGCCCGGCCTGCCATCCTCGGCTCAGGTACCATTCCCTATCTGCCTGCCGCTCCTGGCCAGCAGCCAGACGCTTTGCCCTCTGCATGCGCTGAGGGAGGGAAGTGGTAGGTGGTGTTTGCCTCCTTTCACGCTCCCCCCAGGCCAACATGGTCTTAGCACCTCGTGCATGCCAGCCTCCAGGGTCACAGCGGGACGGACCAAGATTAACACGGCTCCCCACCCACATGGCCCTCGGGTCTAGTGGGAGAGACAGGCCTGAGACCACAGATAGAGCATGTGCGTGTCCGCCTGCAGATGTGATGAGGCTGGGGGACACAGGCCCAGAGGCTTCCCTGAGGAGGTGGTTTCCGAGCCGCAGTCCAGGCTGGGTGGCACAGTGAACCAGCAGGGACCGTTCCGGACTCCTGCTCTCCCACTCACCGTTGACCTTAACTGGCCAGCTTGCCTCTCCCAGTCAGTGTCCACCTCTGGGAAGTGGGATTGGGGGTATAATCACATCGAGGTTGCTTGGGGGATTCATGTGCTAACATGGTGCCTTAGTATTACTCAGTAGACACTGTTTTGATTAAATTTTATTGTTACTGCTGATGTTGTTAATGGGAAAAGAGAAGGAGCCGGAGTCCCTGGAGAAGAGGGCATGGCAGTCAGGAGGAGGTGCTGCCAGGGAGGAGGCCCCTTGCATGTTTGCCGGCCCCCCTCCACCCCAGGCAGAGCTGCAGACCCCCTCCAGCTGACAGCCCTGACCCGTCCTAGGGAGCAGTTAGAGCGGGCACAGGCCCACGCTGGCAGCAGATGCTCACTGGGCAATTCTGCCCTGGGGCTGGGAGAGTGAGGGAACCTCTGAGCTCAAGGGTCCAGCTCTTTCTACCCCCCTTCTCCCGCAGACCCCGCTAGCTAAGGCCCAGAGCAGGAGACTGGGGTTCTTGCTGCCCCGCCCAAGGGCTGCATGCCGGAGGCGGGTGTCCCTGCCCAGTTACTCTCCCCAGCACTGGGGTGGGGATCCTGGAAGAGGGACCCCACCCCAGCGCAAGTACTGCCTTCGCACAGAGTAGAAGAGGCGCCCCTCCCAGGCAGGGTGTGGTCTCAGCACTCACTCGCCTCTGTAGCCCCCTCCAGTGCAGCGACCCTTTGGAGACTTGATAAAACCATGTGGCTGTGGCTGTGGCTGGGTGCAGAGGCAGGCCCGGGTCCAGCTGTGGCCTGGGTGTGCTGCTCTCCGAAGCGCATGACGGTCCTTCCCATGTTGACTGGCAGGGCTGGGGGCTGGTCCTGCCTGGTCCCTGTGCCTCCTGCTGGGGAGAACCAGGGAAGTTTATTCTGCAGGTGGACTTGGGGCGGGACTATAGGCTTGTCCCTGGGGCTGCCTCCCCCTCCCTGCCCCACTGCCCTTCTTCCTGTTCACACCCCTCCAGCCACAGACCCAGGCTCCTCCGGCCTCCGGGCCTTGGCTTTTCTCTGCCTGGGAGGCCCTTGTCCCAACACCTTGTGTGGCTCCATCCCTCCCACACATGCTGAAGGTCTCGGCGTTGAAGCCGTCTTCTTGGAGAAGTCCTCCCTGTCCCCAGACTGGGCCGACCCTCCCAGTGCCGCCCCTGCTCTCGCCCTCCCCACGGTCATGGTGACTGCGGCCCGTGTCCATCCAGCCTTCTTCCTTCTGCCGCTGTGGTGGCATCCCTGGAGGGGTCTGGGCAGCATCTGCCAGTGAACGGCCTGGCTCAGGGCAGCCTGTGGCTTAGGCAGGTTGCCGCCCCTCCGAGCTCCAGCTCTTCTGTCTGTCACACAGAAATACCTGGTGCCCCCGTGCGAGGCTCAGTGAGGGGCCTGCATGGAGGCCAAGGCGCAGCACCCCAGGTGACCCCGTGCTCCCGCCCCATTCTGCCTCCCAGGGCTGCCGGAGGAGCCAGACCAGAACCTGTCCAGCCCCGAGGAGGTGTTCCGCTCCGGCCACTCCCGCAACTCCAGCTACGCCAGCCAGCAGTCTCGGATCTCTGGTGAGAGCCGCCAGCCTGTCTGTGCCTCCCGCTCCCGGGATCCCAGCGTCGCTCCCCGTGACACCCCCCACCCCATGCCTCTCCCTGCTTGGATCCCGAAGCGACACCCCTGTGCCTTCCCAGGCTGCAGCACAGAGCACTCGCGCTCCTCCAGCCTCTCGGACTTGACCCACCGCCGCAACACGTCCACGAGCAGCAGCGCCTCTGGGGGCCTCAGCCTGACTGTGGAGGGCCCCGAGGGCGGTGAGCGGGAGCACCGGCCCCCCGAGAAGCCGCCACGGCCACCCAGGCCCCTGCATCTGTCGGACCGCTCGTTTCGGTGAGTGCTACCCGCCACTCAAAAGCTCCCTGGAGAACAGACCCCTCCAGGGCTTCCCTGAGTCCCTGCTTCCTGATGACACAGAGACCACAGGGCCCCCCCTCAGAGGGTTGGATCCTGATGGATTCAACCTGATGATGGTTGTGGAGGGCACGGCCTGTGCCTGGCAGATGCCAGCGCTCAGCTGCTGGTTGCTGCTGCAGCTTGTGTCTTGGTCAGGAGGGAGGCCTGTGGGCCCAACAGTGGGATGGAACCTTCGGGCCACTCTCACATCCTGTGTGGCCTTGGGCCATTACTTGACCTCTCAGTGCCCGGGGTCCTCATCTGTAAACCCAGGCCATAAACAGCACCTGTACCCTAGGGTGGTCGGGAGGGTGGAGCGAGTCCAAGATGGAACACGCAGAACACGTTAATTTCCGTGGCTGCTGGCTGTTCTCGTTCTGTCGCACCCGTCACTGCCCTCACTGCTGGGACTCACCTCACCCTCTGACCAGGCGGAAGAAGGACTCGGTGGAGAGCCACCCGACCTGGGTGGACGACACGCGGATCGATGCCGACGACATCGTGGAGAAGATCATGCAGAGCCAGGACTTCACAGACGGCAGCAACACGGAGGGTGAGCTACCCGCCGGGCAGGGTGGGCGACGCTGCCCGCTTCGGGGGCTGCCCTGCCCTGCTCAGCCTCGAACTCCTCGTGTCCCCACAGACAGCAACCTCCGGCTGTTCGTGAGCCGAGACGGCTCCGCCACACTGAGCGGCATCCAGCTGGCCAACAGGTAGGGGGAGGCCCAGGGAGGGGCTGCTGGCGGCCGGGCGTGGTGGTGAGGCTGAGGCGCTGCTGCCACTGGCCTGGCTCTGAGCGCCAGCTCTTCGTCACCGCAGCGTTTCCCAGGCCAGTTGTGTCTCTGCGCCTCGCTTTCCCCGCCTGTCAAGCGTGGACAGCACCACCTCACCAGGAGCCTGGGGCGGTGCCCACACACAGGCCAGGTGGATCCCCAGGGCTCCCAGAGTCCCCTGGGGCAGTGCCTGGCACAGGGTTCAGCACACTCATTTTGGACCCTGCTTTTCTTCTTCCTTCTGGGTCTGAAAACTAAAAAATGCTGATGGGGAGGACCCACGCCCTCGCCGAACAAAGCTTTGAGCACCAGCTAGCAGCCAGGCACTGAGCGAGTGCTGGGGACGCCGCTGGGCACCACACAGGCTGCTGCCCATGTGCCTTTGCGGATGGGGGTGGTGGGTGGGTCCGACTTGCTGGAACGCTCCAGCTTACGGTGTGCCTCGCAAGCATTCACTGAGAGCACGCAGAGTGTGCGCCTGGCTCACCCTCCTTCTGGCTTACCGAGGGAGGGAGTGGGTGGTTCGTGAGCAAGCGAGTGAGCGAAGGAGCTTCCTATGGGCAGGCTGTGCTGAAGGCAGGAGGCGGAGGCAGGGGGCAGTGCCCATTTAGCACCTAGTCCAGTGTAGAAGATTTGGCGGCACCTGGCCGCTGGGGCCTGCCGCCTCACGCTGCTCTGCTGACCCCTGCTGATCGAGGCTCAACATTGCAGCCGTTGTCTCCCAAGTAGCTTCTCAGGCTGCTCTGGCTGGGGCAGGCAGGAGGCCGAGGGGCCTCTTGCTTTGGAGGTTTGTAAACACTCCTCCCTGGCCCCCTCTGAAAATGAGGAAGCCGGGCCCAAAGGAGGGAAGAAGTCCATCTGGTGAGCAGCGAGACCACAGCAGAGCTGCACGGCAAGCCTCAAGTATCCCCGACCCCATGGGTGGGCCTGGTGGGCAGGGACGAGAGCTGCCCAGGCTCCCTGACGCCCCACTGTCGGCTTTGGCAAGTCTCACCGTCCCTCCTAGCTTCTGTTTCTTCGTCTGTCAAGTGGGGCAGGGCACACTCCCTCCCTGCCAAGGTTTCTGGGTGGATGGGATACTCCTCCCCCTCAGTGTGTGAGCTGCCAGTGCCCTGGGAGGGATGGGGCCCCGCCTGTGCCAGCTCTGTGGTCCCCCCAGACTCTGATATTCAACCATCTGTGTCACCTTGGGCAAGAGGCTTGACATCTCAGAAAAGCTCCTCTGCAAAACAGGACTGGGTAGCGGCCCCTGCTTATGAAATGCCCCCAGGGGCCTGGTCCCGGAGCGCTCCGTGAATGGCCCATCGAGGGGGCCCAGCTGACTTGCTTCTCCCCCGCAGGGTCTCCTCCGGAGTCTATGAGCCAGTTGTGATCGAAAGCCATTGAGCGGACGCCCGGGCTGGAGAAGGGTCCTGCCTTCTCGGGTGTCCAGACCCGCGTCATTCCACGAGGAACTCTCCCTTTGGCTCGCCATCCGCGCCATGTCTCCTCCGTGCCTCCTCCACGCACTCCGGCCCACACCTGTCTCTGCAGCATCATTCCATTGTTCTCCCAGCCAGGCCCGGACTCTCCTGGCCCGCCAGCGCCCGGCCACCACTGTGAATATTCTCCTCTGAACCACTAGAGGGCAGGGCAGGCAGGCCCATGCAGGCAGTGGGCGAGTTGGGCCAGGACTTCCCCACTGCAGCCGACCTGGCCCCTTGGCCAAGGATGTGCAGCCGCTCCTAGACATGTGGGGTTGCCTGTGGCCAGGGGGCCACTGTCTTCACCCTGCTCACTCACTGGCTTCAGTCGTGTCTGGGCTGGCTTCATTGTCCCCTTGCCCGGGGGGCCAGGCCGTCCCCGGCATCCTGCCGCCCGTAGCCCTCCGACCGCTTAGTGCTTCGGCTGTCCCTTCCCTGTGTCCTGGGGGACCTGCTGGCGGCCTCCTCCTGGGAGCCACGACCTCAGACCCCACTCACGCTTCAGACCGAGACTCCCGCCTGCCCTGACGAATGTTCTCCTGCTGCTCTGACAGCCTGCACTTTGCACATGCTTGTCCCAGCACAACCCTCGCTGGCCCGTCGCGTCCCCTTCCCTTGTCGCCCTCCCAAGGACTCCTGGCTGCTGCCTGCTGTGCAGTCAGAGGCCTGGGGTCGAGCAGCCTGGCTGGACCGGGTGCTGCCTTGTCCCTCCAGTCAGCCCCGCTCAGGCCTAGGCCCTGCTGAGAAGGGTCTGCGCACAGCTGCCAGGGCTGGGTCCTGAGCAGCTGGTTTTCCCGCAGGAAGCTGGGGACGAGCGGAGCCCCTTTCTCTGCCCTCAGGGTCAACTGGCCCAGGCTGGGCCGATGCCAGAGAGGCTGGTAGGCTGTGACTAGACCAGCCTAGGGCTGGCTTCCTGGCCGGAAAAGCTTCAGCTATCCTCTGGAAGCATCCCCTGTCTGGGCACAGGAGAAGTGGGGTCCCTTATGCTTCCCCAGCAGGGAGCAGTCTGGCCCTGTCCCCAGCCTGGCCCCTCACAAAAGCCTCTGCTCTCAGCACTTTCCCCTGGTCCTTGGAACTTGCTTGAAGGTGGGTTCTGGCTGGCTGCCAGGCCCTGGACAAACTCCCCTGCCCCTTTTCAGTGTCACTCATTTGGTCTAAAGCCAGCAGGCTGGTGTTTCCTTAGCCCCATGGTTCATTATTTTCTTTCTTCCTTCTTTTCTTTTAGTTGAGTTCACAGTTCCATCTTGCCTCCTCTCCCAGGTGAGAGGAGGCGGCCTCTCTTCCCTGCCCACCGGCTGGGTCCAGCAGGGCTGGGACCCGGCTGGATCCAGGGTGCGGGCTGCTCTCTGGGCGGGGTTTGGGTGACCTCCCCAGGCTGGGAGGAGTCCTTGCCCAGATACCGTCTGCCTCAGCTGGAAAGAGTTGGGCTTCTTGGTCTTGAAACTCCCTGGCATTGAGACCAGAGCGTTTCTAGGGTTTTTGTTGTCATTGTTGATTTGCTCACCTAACTCTTAGAAGATGAATGTTAGAAGGTGCCTGCCAAGGCAGGACAGTGTTTGCTCGGGCCGGAAAAGGCTTCGGTCAGCCTTGAGCGTCCCTTCCTGCCCTGCGGATCCTGGCACTTTAAAAGAAAGCTGTTAGAGCGGTCTCCGGTAAATCAGCTCTAGAAGATGGGGAGTGCTGCCCTCCCTGTGTCTTCGGGACCTCCCCAGTGGGGAAGTGCTCTCAGGGTGGATTTGGGTCTGACTCAGAGTTCCAGGGCTGGGCACAAAACAGCTGGCTTTGGCACTGTTGGGGAGACTCCTCCAAACCAGGAACTCCAGAGGAGACAGAGCTTGCCACACCCTCCCACGCCAGGCCCTGGGCCAGGGTCATTGGACTGACGGAAGCTGGCCACAACCAAATCGACACTGGCTGGAACCAGAGGTCCGAGCCCCAACCTTGTCCCTGGGCAGGAGTCCTTCCTTCGGCCTCTGGTCTCCTCAAGCTCAGTGAATCCCACCAGGTGCCCGCAGCCCCTGGACTTCAAATTCTATATAGAGATGGAGAGAATATATTAGAGATATTTTTGGACAGGAATCGGTCTATGCAATGCCAGTTGGGAATCTTCTTGAAAGTTTAACGTTTTTACTAGGCGATTTAAAGAAAAGAAAGGTCTACAATATTTTTAGGTGTTTTTTTTTTTTTTTAACCCTGTTCAGTCCACAAACTGAGCACATGGCATGATCCACCGGGATGGAGATTGTCTGTGTTTTCCTGTCTCTAGAAACATGATCGAGGACATGGGGGGAGGGTTTTTCTTCTTTAATTTCCCTCCTTTTTAACAATGTTGCCACCGTTACTCCCCTTCAGTGGACTGTGTTTGTATCTCTGTCCCAGCTTCTGTTGTAGAAGATAACATTGTAAGGGGAAATCAGCCTAGTGTCAGACTCTTGGTTTGGGGGAAAAAATTAAATGTTGTGGTTTTTCTTTGTTTTACTCTTTTGTTTTTATCTTGTTACTTTGCACATTGACTTTGAGGTCAGCAACAACCTCAGAGGGAAGCCACATATGTAAGGTGACATTTCAGGGAGGCGGGAAAGATGTAAGTGGCCAGGGTTCTCGAATTCCAGGCTGCAGCTATCACTCTGGATTCCTGGGGCGGGGCTGGGCGGGGAGTGGGACAGGCCCACCCAGAGTGACAGTTGCTTGCCAGACTCACGTGTAGTGAGAGACAGCTCTGACCTCAGAGCTCGAGGTCTAACCACTGCTCTGCAGACCTCTGCAAGTGGGTTGCGTCTAAGGAGCATGCCTGAAGATGAATAACTCTGCGCTTCAGTTTCCTCAGCTGCATTGGGCTTATGGATCCTAACGTGGGTGTACCGCCTGACCTACAGGGGTTGCTGAGGGGCTTCCCAAATTCTAAAGCCACTGGCTGGTGGTGTTTACAGGCTCAGCCTGGGCCCCTCACCCGTTTCTGACTGTCCCAAGTCTCGCAGGAGCTCGGGGGCTTAGCCGAGCTCTGGGACAGGCCAGGCTCTCTGGCTTCTATGAACTGAGATGGCAGGAAGCCTCAGTGGTTTGGACCAGGCCTTGTCTCTGCCCCAGGACAGCGTATGCCCACCCCTTCTCAGGGCTGACCCCCACCCCCGCACGGCTCCTTTAAACCCTGGAGGCGAATTCTCAGTTCCTGAGTTCTGTGCACACCGGGAGAGGGAGGGGAAAATGGGCTCCTGGCTGAGCCCTAAGTCTGCCCTGAGAAGCGAGGGAAATGATTGGGCTGCAGGCAGAAAGGACTTGGGTCACACCAGCTCGGGGAGGGCAGCGCCCGTGTTGGGAGAGGAACTCCCACGACCCGAGGAGGCAAATGCCAGGGAAAGCAAGCCGTGTGAGGCCCCGACCGCCTCTTCCTGAATCCTGCAAGTGGAGACAGCGCCCAAGGGCTTCCCAAGATCCCCCAGGGAGGCCTGGAGTATCCTCTCATAACGTGTCAGGTCTTTTTTAAAAGTCACGGAATCTTAGAGCCGGCTGAGTGAGTCAAAGCTCGTGTGTCGAGCCCCGGTCTGCTGCGGGGCTACAGCCGTGACCACAGACCCTCCCCGGAGCTCGCAAAGGCCTGGGCCAGGTTGGCAAGCAGGGCGGCCCCTGAAAGGGCACAGGAAGGAGGTCCTGCCCCAGCGGCAGCTGCGAAGGCGGCTCTCCCGGGAGGCGGGGCGGCCCGGGGGGGCCCG